AAAGGAGTTCTTCCAACGTTGTTTGCAGAGTATGGTACATGTGATTAGGGGGCATGTAATTGTATTTTGTTTTTTATACGAGTCTGAAAATCTGTTTTATTTTTGCATACTGATAAATCATTTTATAAGTTACACGTTTTAATAATAGTTTTAAATTTTCCACTATTTTTATAGTGGGTCACTCCGGTGGCCCTAATGTGACACCTCGAATCAGATCGGGTTACCCGTATCGGTCTGAGGGGGTTACATGCATCATACTGATCACGTGCTCTGCCAATTTGGTTTCATACAATCTATTCCTGAAGCACTTAGAAATCTCGACAATATGCATAACGTCGATAGACGGGGCAAAAAAGATGTCAATTGGCTGATGAAACACAACGAGTGGGTAATGATATGAGAGGATCAACGTGGACGCATTCCCGTATGGAGCTGATTTATGTCGATCATTATTCAATTGCGAATGACTATTATCAATGGTTCAACACGAATAGGAAGTCGTTCATACTTTTCGAGAAAGCACGAGGTGGGAGCATTCATCGATTTAAAGAAAAGCGTCCACCGTCACAGCATCATCATCCCCCGACTTGTCGAGAAGGAATTGGCATTTTCGGCTTGTCCTCAGCTACAGTACCAGAACCATCACAACACCTACCATCTACATCAGTTTATATTCCACTGCCATTTCAGATGCTACCGCATCTATTTCAGATTGAACTGTAACCGTTTTTATGCCACCACCGCATGGTTTTATGACACATTCCAGAGTTTATACTCCCATGCTTATAGATCCGGTGTGGTCTTTATATGTTGTTTATTTGGCGGGTGATGCTTCACAAAAGACACAAACACCTTCTACTTAATTTTCATATTCATCGACGTCGATGTTTTCATAGTTTTCAAAGTTTTTTTGAGCGGTGAGATGGTTAGTTATACACTTCCAGGGTCTTTATTCTATGGAGGTGTTACATCATCATCCGTCATTCATCAATAAAATGTAGCTGCTATTGCTGACGACGATGATGATGATGAGAGTGAGGAGGAAATTCAACTTATACGATGAAATCTTTATCGAAATAGACAATCACCGCCCTATAGAACACATTCAAGACGTGAAGTTGTTTAATGGCATTCTGCTTTGTCTTCCATGTTTTCCTATAGGAGACGATGTACCCATATTGAGACTGTATAGCTGAAATCAACACCGTAATAACTATATGAGAGCTTGCTTTGGCCATGGACATGATGGCTTGACATATAATGTCAGACTCCAAGTTGGGATGGTCCTGTTTGATCCCTCTAGCACAACATGTATTAGGAACTTTGTATACTGATAGTTCCCATATGTTGTTTTTCCTCTTCTTTTTCGATACACGAGCCATCTAGTTGCATCCGTTATTACGTTGGACACAGTAATAGACATATTTTTTGGTGGTGGATTGTAACACCCTCAACCCATACCCGACCCGGATACGAGTCCAGGATGTCTCATTGACTACAAAAGAATATTCTTAAAAAATGATAAAATATTTGGACTTATATAACTAAAATATGATAATATACATAGGTTAATACAATTTTATCAAAATACTCAGAGCATTCACAACTTGACCATTTGATTACATGCCAACATTCATTTATATAACAAAATGACCTACTAATTAAGTTGCTTCTGATAAGATAGTTGCAGGAGTAATGTTGTCCAGCTGCTTAACCCATCTCGTCTACTTTCTCGGATCCTACGTGCGAAACACTCACACTCTAAGTCATCGACTTAGTGAGGCAAAATAATAATAATAATAATAACAAGGAATTGTAATGGAAATGTCATAATGAGATGAAATGAAATGAAGTCATATACTTAATCAATGCAGTTATATCACCATGTTCCTTACCAATAAGCATATTACATTAACACTCATGAATTCATAGTAATAAGTTTATTGGCCCATGATACCATACTAAGAACCTAAAGTATGTGAGTACTGTGAGGTTGTGCACTATGCTATCACCACAGCTCGTATAAATGCACCGAAGTGCCACGTAGAATTGCACCAAAGTGTCGCGTAGAATTGCACCGCAGTGCTATATAAGATATCCATAAGGACCACGTAGAAAATTCCTTAAGAATCATATATATATGCTAAGGATCAAGTACGTGTCTCAAAAGACATCACATATGTTCCAAGGAATACATATATGTTCCGAAGGATCGCGTAGACCCTCTACTCTTGGCATACCAACTATACCTATAGTTCTCATCTACATAACATGGGTTTTTCTCAATCTACATAGTATATCACATAGACATATCCTTTTCCTTACCTTCATCACATAGTTCATATAACTTTGCATACATATTCATTTATAACATATTACACAATGCACATAGTATGAATTTCTATTACATTTCATAATATAAAATGAATCATGCATCAATGTATTGAATCTAGACTTATAACAAGTCTAGAACTGGATACACTACGATAATCATGTTATGCATATGCACTCACCTATATTTCTTTGTCTTTCCCTCGATCAATCTTACTGGGCAATTGTTCTGGAACTTGTTTAAGCTCTGTATCTACATAGTAATACATTGATACTTATCAGTATACTAATTAATATATTCTAAACTATCATTCCTTAGGTTAAAAGAAAAGCTATTTTCATCTCTTAATAAAGGTATGTATCGATGCACTCTACAGTGTATCGATACACTCCTTAATGTATTGATGCACTCCTTATGCATCGATGCACTAATTTCATTCGATGTTCATTTATTTGAGAGTGCATCGATACACATTGAATGTATATTGATGCATTTAACCCAGAAATATTATTTTGAGCACAAAAATCCCTTAATAATCCTCTCAACACTATATAATTCACCTCCTTTCATATCCCTAACTTGCATACACTTACTTAAACTAACTATTATCCATTCAATACCTCTAAAACTTAAAAATCCAATCTTCCCTATAGAATTTAAGAATCTCACTCAAATTCCAACATGTTCTAATCCCTATTCTAACACTTCATATTCCTTAATTAGCTTAATGACAAGTCAAATCCCACTTTTAATTCTTATTATGAACTCTATTCCAAGATTTCATTTTTCTACTTCCTTTCTTTAATTCTTCATGTAATCCTCATCTTATGGTTTTAAACCAAATTAAATTTCCTTTAAGCTTAACTATTGTCTAATGGTCATAAATCAACCATAAATTCATCAAGAATTTCACTAACAAGAAAACTCACCTTTAGCTTGGCTTCAGGGTGGAGAAGAAGAATGAAGAAGAAGAGAAATCTAGAAACTTTGGTTCTCCCAATAGCTTTCCACGTGGATATATAATTATCCTCAACTAATATTTAATTACTTCCCTGCTAAAAGACTCTTTCACCCTTGTAATTCTTCATTCTTTGCTAATTAATCCTACACAAAATATTTCAATCAAGTCCTTGAACTTTTCAATTTATCCAATTTGGTCACTGAATTTTTAAATCTCATAATTTAATCACTAACCCGGTATGGAGGATGTTACAAATCTCCCTCCCTTAAGAAAATTTGTCATCGAATTTCATTGCACAAACAGATGGGGGTATTGAAGTCGCATATCCTCTTCACGTTCCCACGTTGCTTCCTATACTTTGTGATTTCTCCAAAGAACTTTGACTAACAAAACTGTTTTATTTCTCAATTGTTTGACTTCGTGGCCGAATATTTGTATTGGTTCTCTTCATAGGTCAAATCAGGTTGAACTTCTACTTGTTCTAGTGCAACGATGTGAGAGGGATTGAACCTATATCTTCGTACCATGGACACATGGAAAACATTATGAATTTTCTCCATTTCTGGTGGCAAATATAACTGATATTTCACTAGTCCTATTCTTTTAACAACTTCATATGGCCCGACGAATCTAGGACTTAGTTTTCCTTTCCGTCCAAATCGTAATACCTTTTTTCCAGGGTGACACCTTGAGAAACACTTTATCTCCAACTTCAAATTCAATCTCTTTTATTTTACTATTAGGATAGGACTTTTGCCGATCAAATGCCACTTTTAGGTTATATTGAATTTTCCGAACTTTCTCTTCCACATCTTGAATCAAATCTGTACCAAATACATTTCGATCTTTAAGTTCATACCATTTTAATGGCGTACGACATTTCCTCCCATATAACGCCTCATAGGGTGCCATTTTAATTCTGGACTGATAACTATTGTTGTAAGCGAACTCCGCCAGTGGTAAATATTTCTTCCAATATTTGAATAGTTCTTTCTGATTGTCTGTCTGTCTGGGGGTACTAAAGTTTAAACGAGTCCCTAATGCTTCATGCAAGGATTTCCAGAATCGAGGGTCTCGATCAAAAACTATAGAAACAGGCACTCCGTTTAATCTAATGATTTCCTTAATATACAGTTCCACATACTTTTCCATAGAGAAATCTGTTCTAACAGGAAGGAAATGTGCTGACTTGGTCAATCAATCAACAATTACCCAGATTGAATTTTTTTTGTTTGGAGTCAATGGTAACCCCAAAACAAAATCCATCGTTACATTTTCCCACTTCCATTGTGGAATGGAAAGTGGTTGCAATAATCCAGACGAAACTTGATGTTCAGCTTTAACCTGTTGACATGTTAAACACTTGGACACAAATTCTGTGATGCTTCGTTTCATCCCTGACCACCAATATCGATCCTTTAAATCCATATACATCTTGGTTCCACTCGGGTGCATTGTCAATGGACTGCAATGAGCCTCTGTCAATAAATCTTTCTTCAACTCTTCATCGTCTGGTATCACAATTCTTTCTTTATAATACAATTTCCCATCGGATTTCACTTCAAAATCTTTAATCTCTTTATTTTTTACTTGCTCTAATCTTTTCAAGATAATTCATCTTGGCTTTGCAATTCTCCTATTCGGTCCAACCATGCTGGTTTAAGTTTTAACTCTGCACATAAACCACCGTCTCCAGATAAAGATAATCTTGCATCCATAGCTCGTAAGGCTGTAAACGTCTTTCTACTCAAAGCATCTGCTACCACGTTAGTCTTTCAGGGATGATAGTCAATTATTATATCATAATCTCTCAAAAACTCAACACATCTCCTTTGTCTCAAATTAAGCTCTTTTTGAGTTATCAGATACTTCAAGCTCTTATGATCCGTATACAAATAACATCATTCTCCATATAGATAATGACGCCAAATCTTGAGAGCGAATACCACTGCAACCATTTCTAAATCATGAATGAGGTAATTCTTTTCATGTGGTTTCAACTGTCTCGATGCATACTCTACCACTTTCCCTTCTTGCATTAATACACATCCCAATCCATTATGGGACGTGTCACTGTACACCACAAAATTCTTACCGGACTCAGGTTGAACTAATACAGGAGCTTCTGTCAAAATTCTCTTTAAAGTTTCAAAACATTTTTGGCACTCTAAATTCCAAACAAATGGTACATTCTTTCTCATCAGCTTTGTTAAAGGTAACACAATCATCGAAAAATTCTTAACAAATCTTCGATAATAACCTGCAAGTCTAAGGAAACTCTGATCTTCAGACCTATTCTTTGGAACTTCCCAATCCATTATAGCTTTTATCTTTTGAGGGTCCACCCTAATCCCATCTGCAGAGATCACATGCCCCAAGAAAATTACTTTATTTAGCCAAAATTCACATTTGGACAATTTCACATAAAGCTTCTTATCCCTGAGAATTTGCAAAACTATCCTCAAATGTGCGCTATGCTCTTCATGGGATTTCGAGTACACCAATATGTCATCAATAAATACAATAATAAACTGGTCCAAATAGGGCTGAAAAATCCTGTTCATGAGATCCATGAAAGCAGCAGGTGCATTTGTTACTCCAAATGGTTATACGATGAATTCATAGTGACCATATCTCATTTTGAAAGCCGTCTTCAGAATATCTTTCTCCTGAATCTTCAATTGGTGATAACCAGAATGTAAGTCAATCTTCGAGAATACTGAAGCTCCCTTTAACTGATCAAACAAGTCGTCAATGCGCGGGAGGGGATACTTATTCTTAATGGTTACTTTATTGAGTTATCGATAGTCAATGTAGAGATGCATTGAACCATCATTCTTCTTAATAAATAACATCGGAGCTCCCCAAGGTGACACACTTGGTTGAATAAATCCCTTCTCTAACAACTCTTGCAATTGATTCTTTAACTCTTGCAATTCTTTTGGAGCCATCCGATAAGGTGTCAATGCAATTGGTGTTGTTCCCGACATTACTTCAATTTGAAATTCTACCTCTCTATCTAGAGGTAATCCTGGCATCTCTGCAGGGAAAACATCAGGGAATTCCCGAACTAATGGAATCTCATCTAACCCTTTCTCTTTAGCTCTTGTATATATCACATTTGCAAGAAAACCTTGACATTCTTGAAGCAATAGTTTCTTAGCAGACATCACTGATATTACATTTGCTAAAGGATTAAACATTTCACTGATCACACTTACTTCTATTCTTCCTGGACTCTTCAGGGTTACCTTTTTTGATCTATAATTAACATAGTAATGAAACAACCAATCTATTCCCAAAATCACTTCAAACTCGTCAAAGGGTAGTTCCATCAGATTAGAAGGGAATTTAATTCCCTGAATCTTTATGGGACGCCCCTTACAAACTTTGTTCACCCGAGTACTATGCCCTAAAGGATTAGTTACTATAATCTCATTACTCGTAGCTTCTAAGGGGATCCTCAATTCCTTTACTAATTTACTTGTAATGTAAGAATAATTTGAACCCGGATTAATTAGTACCAATACTAATTTATAATACAGCTGAAAAGTACCTGCTATAATATCAGGATCATCACGACCTTTACTTGTCTTTAAATTGTATACCCGTTCGATTGGCCGAACTTCAGGTTGGTCAGAGGATTCAGACTGGTTCCTTCCTCTACCTCTTCCCATACCTCTATGTGAGGCATAACCAACTCTCTCAGATGGTGCAGAATCTCCAATCATTAACGGACAATCTCGGATAAAATGTTCGGCATCTCCACATCGAAAACAAGCTTCGGAAGCCATCCAACATGTCCCAAAATGGTTCTTTCCACAATGCTGACACTGTCTTACTTGACCCTGATTAGATCTCCCAGCACCAGATCCCACTGACTGTGCCTATCTAGGCCTCGCCTGACTTACTCCCCTAGCAGATGATGCAACTGATTCTGATCTAACTTGTGATCGAAATCATGAGTCTCTTTCTCTTTTTGGTGGTGCTGAGCTAGAAGAAGCAATTGTACTTTTTGATGTTTGAACTCTTAAGTCCCCAAATCTCTCATTTTGAGCTCTTTCAAGAGCTTTGGCACGATTAATCACCTCTTGGAATGAGGACAAATTCAATACTATCAACATCTCCTTTAATCTAGGGCGTAAGCCTTCCACAAACCATTCACAAGCATCTTTTTCAGTAGGCACAAGCTCAGATGCAAAGCGAATCAGCTTGTTGAACTCGCATTCATACTCATATACAGAGAGGTTGCATCTGTTTCAAGTTCATAAACTCCCGCTTCATTTTCCGTGTAACACCCCTAATCCATATTAGACCCGGATCCGAGTCCGAGATGTCACATTGACTTTTCAAACATTGACTCTTAAAGAAAATCATGAAAATTTTAAACTTTCATTAAAATAAAATATGTAAATTCACACAAGTTGGACCAAAATAAACAAAATCAATCAGAGCCTTAGTAATTCACAATTTTGTTACATGCCAACACACTATATACAACCAAATATAATACAAACATCATATATCAATTCATATAACCCTAATTATAAACATGTACACATATCATCATTATTCTAGTCACACTATTGTCATTATCACTATCTTTATTCCATTTAGAACATATAACTAGAGTTTAATCTTTGAAGCACTTCATACTATACTTTTCACAAACCAAAACATATAACATCAAATAACATTTCTTTATATTATTTCTTTGTTTAGCCCATGTACACTTTTGAGAACTACATGTATGCGAGTACATAGAGGTTGTGCACTATGCTGTCACCACAGCTCATATAATTCCCCACTAGGGGCACTGAATATTTGTCCCGAATGACCACTATGTCCCGAAGGACCACTGTTAATCCCTCGACTCTTGGCATGCCAACTATACCCCTAGCTCTCATAATACATATCATGGGCATTATCCTTATATTATCATACATTCACATATTCACTTAGTTCACTTACACATAGTTCACTTCCATATGATTCACATGTCACATGTCACATATTCACTTATTCATATCATATAGGCTCATAGCGTTTCATCATATTATTTACATTCTCTGACTATATTTTGGTAATCATGTACATTACATATAGACATCTATATCACTTTCACATAGTTTATATCAAACTTCCAAGTCCATTTAATAACATATGTTTTATCATCTACTTTATGCATCATTATTTTGTATTCACTTGGATTACATAATCTATGTTATATTATAAACATATCCCACTTAATAGTATTTTATTTATATACTAATTTAGTTTATTTACTTAATTCCATTTCATATATTTCTTATAGCCTTTTTACATATCTCCATAGTTCTTTAGCATATAACTTATCTTATAGGTGCGTACCATCACTTGTATACAAATTTCCTAATTGATTTACTATTCTTCCTATTTCATTCTATAGTTCAATCCTATTTAGTTTCCCTCATTCTCATTAACTCATCTAATTCTATTATACAATTCCTCATAATTAATCATACCACTATGTACGTATCCAACTTATGTTTCTATATAACTGTTACACATGTTTACCTAATTCCTATTGCTTTTCATGAATTCACTTTCATTATATTCTCCTATTATTACATATTTTATATTATGACCATATCTTTAAATAATCTTATACTTCATTATCATATGACTTATATTTTGTCCTATTAGGACTCTTCATAGACTTATATTCTCATTTCCATAAATTCCATAAATCTTATCACATGACTTATCTATTAGATTCATATAATTTCATATCTATTCTTATATTATCAAATAACTTATGTAAACATATTATATATTACTTATATCGGTTCCTATATCTTATCACTCTAACATATTTCACAAATTTGCCACACATACAATAACATATTACCCATACACTCATAACAAACACATACTGATGGTCATGAATTCATGCATAATGCTATAGAAAATAGACTTGTCGTAAGTGTTATTTCCATTAAACATCATATATTATCTAATATGCACTCACCTTGGCCTCACTAAGTTTCAAATCCACTTTATAATTTCCTTTCTTACAATCGAATCTTAACTTGATGATCGTTCTGGAACTTGTTCGTACTTGATATCTACAAATATACATGGATCCATATCAGTATTCTAATTGATATTCTCAAATCTTTCATTCCTTAGACTAAAAGAAAGGTCTATTTCATTTCCCCTTGAAGTGCATCGGTACACACTATAGTGTATCGATGCATTCCTTATCGGGTGTATCGATGCACTACCTATGCATCGGTACACAAATTACATTTTATGTTTTCATTTTAAGGGGTGCATTGATGCACTTCCTATGCATCGATACACACTGAATAATTTTTGGAAATTTACCCTTGATGCATCTGTACATGTTAAATGTGTATCAATGCACACTAGCCAAAAATTCCAATTTATGCACGAAAATCACTTCCTTTTAGCTCAAATGTTTCATATTTCATCTCCTTTCTTATTCTTAACTTACATACTCATTCTTAAACTCATTTATTCTCATTTATCCCATCTTTATCCTCAAAATCCTATATTCCAAATGGAATTCAAGAATCATACCAAAATTTTCATGTTATCCAAACTTAATTCAAACACCTATAACTTCTTATTCTTATAGATGACAAGTCAAATTCAACCTCCAAATTCATTTAAACTTTCTTATTCAAAATTTCACTTAAAAACTTTATTTACTTAATCTTTCATAACATCTTCGTCTTTGAGTTTTTCCTTATCTTTAGACTTCCTTGAGCTTTCTTACTATCTAAAGAATCGAAACCAACTTAGAATTCAAATAATAATCAACTAATAAAAACTCTCACCTTTTCCTAGAGCTCCCACGTATAAAGAAGAAGGAGAAGATGAGGTTTATGGAAGCTTGGATATTTCTTCCTCTTATACACGTGGTTACTCCATTAAAAAGAAAAGAATAAAATATTTTCTTGTCAAATGACCTTTTTACCCTCCACCTCTTTTCATATTTACCAATCAATCCTCTAGAATAAAATTCTCTATAAATTCCTTGAACTTTTAACTTATTTTGAAATCGAGCACAAAATTTTTAAAATTTGCAATTTAGTCATTGATCCTGATTTGGGATGTTACAAATCTCCATTCCTTTTAAGAAAATTCGTCCTCAAATTTTCACTGTACATTGATAAGAACATATCTTCTAATGTTCTCATGTTATTTTCTCCATTTTATCCCTTCGAAATTACAATTAATGATTTGCCTTCAATTTCCAAAGAACTCAATCCATTTCTATCTTCTTTCTTACTCGATTGCACACTTACTTTTAACCTTTAAAAATCCATATCATATCACTTATCATACAAACAATAACATCCATTATTATCATTCAAAGTCATAAATCAATTTGATTTCCTTCGTCACTTTTTAATTGACTTACAATAATAACTCAATCTTTAATCCTTTATCATTTCAATTAGCATATTTGTTCTTGATAACTTGATCAAAAGAAAATGATAATTCAACTATATTTTGAATTTCCTTACTACCTATAAATCATTTCTTATTCCTCTGACTATGCCCACTTGACCAAGAAACACAACCTTAAACTCTCATCAAATCTGATAAAAACATATTCTTTACCAAAATCAAACAATCTCTTTATACAACCTTACATACTTTTCTTATTTATGTATCGAACTTAGAATCTACTCCTCCATATAATCAAATCTTCTTATAAGATAACTAAACCATATATTTTCCTTCATACTCATATACTCTTTTCATATTACTCATATTTATCCCTTATCATCAATCTTTATAACATTTTCATGACTCTAATAGTCAACACTACTTACACAAACCTTATTCTTTGAAAAATCCTGGTTCGAATCATAATACACTTATCCTTTGTCATCATTTTCAAACTTTCTATCAATTCTTAATTGTCTTCAAACTTACAAATCCTTATCTCCTTCATTAAACTACCTTTACATGATCAAGATACATAACTAATCATATTCAAATTCACACTATACTTACAATCACATAATTTTTCTAGTTAGTATCAGTACTTCCAATCTCGAGTGTAACTTTTGTTGAGTCATTTATATACATTCTTCCATTCGGATTTAACACATCAATAATTTACTCAACTTTATCTTTTCTTTCAATCTTATAACCCTATCACCTTTACTCTTACAGCTAGTCAATAACAACTGTTCAATCTAGGGCACATGCCCTAATCAATTAATCATATACACTCTTTCCAATCAGAATTATCTCAACAATATATTTTACTTAACTTATCAAATTCATATTCATTCTTATACACCATGTAGTTTCCGTTGTTCAAACTTGACATTTTGACTTTCTCTATCTTATAAACTGATCATTGATGTATTTATTCTTAAAACTCTTCTTACCAATCATTAGTTTTACTCAAATATACAAATCCTCACTTCCTTCACTATATCACATTACTAGGATCCAAATATACAACTATATCCAGATCCACTTTATATTTGGTTATCTTAACCTGTCAATATCTTAAAATCTTTCAACTCCAATACATGTTTCATCACATAATCTTGTTAGTCAACACGAACTCTTTCCATCTAAAATGCAACCTCTTATCATATCTACACTTTTGCTTATACACAGTACTATTCCTTTGTTTCAACTTCATAAACTGGCTTTCTATATCTTATATGCTTGTCA